TATTGGGGAGAACTTAAAGGGATGGCTTATGGGGCTGGTCCAATAACAACTGAAGCACAACTTCGCGAAAAAAATTTTAATGCGGCTGAAATAATAAATGGACAACTTCGAGGACCTAGAATAAGAAGAAACTGGGTTCGTCGTAATGAAGCTTGTGTGGAAAGTGGAGGACGACATTTTGAACACCTTTAAATACAAAAAAAGTGCAGTGCGAGTTTTAAAAAGAAAAACAATGTATGTATCAAAATTGTGTTCCCTATTTATAAGTGGATTCTTTTACTACGTTCAATAAACTTTCACACACCAGGTGAAGCGCTGAGACAGTTGGTGGTAAGTCCGTTATTTAATTGTTTGTATTTTACGAGTGCATTATCAAATAATGAAATAATATCTAAGAGCCAAAAATAACAAACACACAAACAAACTCCATCTTTATTTATACTGCGTTCCGTCGTAATTTGCGTCTGGCATTGCGGCGTTGTCAGATTTTATTTTACTTTAAAGCCGCTTTTCTCTCAAAAAATTCCGTTTTGACCTCCATGTTATATGAAACTTTTTGCTTCTTTTAAACCACTCTATCACCCATTTAAATAATGACTATCATAACGTTTACACCCTGTAGGGCCCTCCCAAGAGAAAAAGGGTAATATACTACTTCTACAGCGTTTTGATAATTGGTTGTTAAGTTTTAGGCGGATTAATGTACAAAAAAAGGTCAACATTGATAGCCTCGATGGTTCAACATTTCCAAAAATGTTGATTATATGTTTCATTGTTATAACGGAAGGAGCTGTAAAATAAGGTATTACACGAACTCCTATTCAATTTCACTTGCTAACTTGAGCCGTTAAAAAAATAAGTAGGGAAGGAGGTCCTTTTCAAAAAGCACTGCTTGATCATGTTGAAATTAACATAAAAATAATTTGCGAATTACCCTTAAATACGACTTGTTTTGTGAAGTTGTAACCGAATAACCAGATAACGAACACAGGTGACTAAGGCAGCTCCAGCAGTAACAGTTCTTTGTTTTGGTGTTACAGTTCAGTTCAGGGCTTACCCATGCACCCGATTTGTCTGATGCGGCAGTATCACTTGACGATATTTCTTTCTTTGAAATTAAAACAAATGATGTCTTACCGTTTTAGAGAGACATTTGTTCGAACTTGAATCCCGTTGCTAGTTTAATAAGCCCTTATGCCATATATCAATGCTTTAAGTTATTACTGGAGTTGAAAAAATAGAAAAACCCATCATGTGCAAGCTGAGAAAACAAAAGATATAAACCTTACAGAAATCAGTCCGGTGAATCCTGATAAAACTCATTGGCTGTGGTTCACTTGTAGCTGGCGTGGAATAAGCTGTCTAGTCAAGTTGACATTTTATTGGTTTTCTTTGATATTATATAGGTTTTTTAAGTAATCACCCTGCTGAGTATTGCTCCTAATTTAAAACTTACTGAAGAAAAACTGTGACCTTCAAGGACACGTCAAGGTCAAGACCCTTGTTTTCAATAAAACACTTTATTTTCGACTCCGGAAACGAAAAGGGTATAACATTCCACATTGATCTACAATAGTCGAATGGCCCGTGGCCATTGCCAATACTTTAATGACGTCTGGTATCACCAGTAGCATATCCCTGTCAAAACAGTTCACTTGATCATGACGTGACCTTGAAGGTCATGCTTAAGATTTATTATTGGCAAGGGTCATGGCCCAATGTAGATGTGGAATATTCCACTCTTTTTATATCCGTAATCAAAAATGTCTCATCGAAAAGAAGTAACCTGACCTTGACATGACCTTGAAAGTTACGGTCGTGATGGAATCTACGGCATTCTGACTAGCTATGTAGATTAACCTATATGCATACTCTAACGCAAATTTCCAAAACAGCAGATATGCCTGTTGTCAAACTTTGGTGTTTCAGATGTCATACCCAATAGCTTAATGACTAATGATCAAAACCTATAAGTAATATCAATCTTCTTTTAGAAGGACCCAGTGTGAAATAAAAAGTACGCTTTTTCATTTAAAATTTTTTTGATGTGCAAATTTGTGACCCTACATAATTGTGAGTATTTTTTATCATTTTTTATTTAGGAGCAATACTTCATTGTCACATGCTTGGAACACTCTGTATATCACAGAAACGCTTCATAGGATTGTTAAACGCTAATGAGAACTTTTGATCAGGATACTCTGGTTTCCAAAGTTTAAGCAATGTTCACCAGCGATTGATTTCCCTAAGGTTTGTGCCCCCTCCTTTGGCTTCCGCTGACTCTGCCAGATATGCTCGCTTTGATTTACGGAAAGTAATTACAGACAACAATGATAATGATGCACATTGTGAAAATGGTTTTATTAATAGATGTTCTGCTGTATGTACCGCATCATGAATATTCCTTGCCAAGTCAGAATAAAACAAAAAAAAACTATGTGATATTCTTCAGTGCAATACATTTCTATAGTCTTTAGTGGTCCAAGTAGATGTGATATACGAAGAGAAATATCAACAAATCGAAGGTACCTAGGCGTTCATAACACTACAAAACTACTCATTCTTTAATTGTCCTTCAATAGGTAAAATTCACTAAAATAATTTTGCGTTTACCTTCCGACTCCACATTAAGCTCGATCTTTATTTTTTTTATAAATGCAAGTGTTTTTTAGAGTACCAGTTTGCATAAAAATGTCTTGATGATGCATACTGTAGTGGAGTCCGATTCCAGGGTATCAGTGAGCTTGGAAATTCTTTTAACTACATTGGTAGTATACGCTTAAAGTGAATGGTGCCTTTCGTTGTAATAGTGGAAAAGATTACGGCGCATACAGAATAGAAAATATAATCACCATCCGTTGCAAGACACGTAGAGCTAGCTCTAAATGATAAGATATACCGGGTGTCCCAGAATAAGTAGTGGAGCGCCGGCCGTAAGACATAAAAATGCAAAAACTTCGGAACATAAGTGTTAAGGGCAAATGTACGGGAAAATCTAAGATGTCACTAGATCACTTAATCAGTATTGAAACAAGACCTTTTTCAAAAATATCTCACTTTATCAAAATATAACAAAAATACTTTTTTTTCTTCAGATGAAGGGTCAGGCTTTCCAAAAATGTCATTTTTCGGCCATTCTACTTTCCACGCTTACTGGTTACTTTCTACGCCTACTGAAAAGTACTGCTCGCATTTTGATTAAATTTTTACACAATTTTGATAGATTAGGAGAAAAAAGTTTTGTAGTTATTGAAAATAGTCCGGTGGCAGCGAAGGAAAAGGTCAAAAACAAAAACAAATAGTCTCGCTTAGACTTCGTTTTTTGACGTTTCAATCATTTTTGGAATAATTTTTAGAGGTAAAAACCTTGGGGGTGGGGGTTGTATAGTTGTGGGGAGGGTTCATAGATTTTTTTTTTATGTTAGTTTATTAATACATTCCCAACGTTAGTAATTCTACGCATCTCTTAGACATACTTTAAACATCACGGATTTCTCCGTACGTTAAGTGTTATGGCATTACACGTATTACTGCCCCGCCACAGCACAATGTTTCCTACGCTGAGGCCGCGCTGCCACGTCCCATCGGGTTAGGTGTCGGAAGGAGGCGACGTTGCCAGATGGACTACCCGTAGGGCAGTGACAGAATGTCTAATTGCATGGGTCTGTTTGATTGAATTTTTTCTCAGCGGGTATAGTTTGTTGTGAACATAAACTTTTATAAACTGATAAGGCATTGCGTGCGAAGTGCAACGCCTACCTACTTGACGCGATTTTTTATAGAGGGTGTAATAGCAACAATATGTCATTAGGGTTAGTCCATTCCTAGAGACATTATTAATTTGTGGCAATATTTTGTTGTGCTCTATATTCCCAGGAAGGATGGATATTTTATTCTGGGGTACCCTGTACTTTCCATACATTTAAATATAAGCGTCTTGTGTATAACACATCGTTTGGGCAATATGTCTACCAATAGGAAGACCGTGGGCAGTGAAGAAGTATTTGTCTTCTAGTTAAAATACATAGCTGTGTTTTTTTTCCATACATATTCAATTTTGCGAAGCTACTGTCTTCAGGAGAAGTTGAATAGGTTTTTTTGAATTCACTTAAGTGTTCTTTACATAATCACCTATTCTATTAACTGATCTTCAAGCAGTGAAACACCACTGGGGTCAATCGAACGAAAATTGAACGAGTGTTGCAGCACACATATTTAGGAACTGTGATTAATGAGTCAAGGCATAATACCCAAGACACTGGATGTCGAATTGCAAAGCTAGCAGACAAAAATGTGACTCTAAGAATGTTAGAAGTTTCTGTACAGAGCAATAATGAAAGATATCTTGGCCGCCCACGAAAAAGCAGAATAGAGAATTAATGCTTCCCAACCACAGGGCTGGTTAACATCGGTAAAACTGTTAAGTTTCAATACTTGGGCCATGTAATGAGAAACTAGGGCATGAAGAGTAACTCTAGTGTATCTTACAGGCAAAAGGGAAAACAGTCTAAGAGTAAGAATAATATCCTGGCTGGCCAACCAGGGAGTCTCGTTTGGGAAAACTGTAATACATAACAAATCATAATGCTCGTAAATATCCAGAGCAGACAGGTACACTTGGAAAAAGACGTACAAAGAATACGATTTCATTACTTGTAATGTTTGAGCCTTAATAGAGAATCGACGGCTGAACTGTTGAGAAAATGTTGTACTAAATTGAAGTATATTTGATGTTTTTACTATTAAACTGTGATTGGTTCAAAAGTGGACTGTTTACGTCCGTTTCATAAAGTTTAGCGACCATAGAGCGTAGTTTCTCCACTCTTGAGGTCGAGACGGGAGTCCGCGACTAGAGATCTAGACACATCGCATTTATACAGAAAATCTCTCACTTTTATTGGCCCTGAATAATGACCGCTACAGCCCTAGTATTTAGTTAATCTATAGTTTCTGCTATTATCGCACTTCAATCCTGGGAAAGAATACAATAAACAAATTGTATTGGTTCATTTAGGCAACAAACAACTGCTAAACACATAGGTAACTTCAGTATATGGATATCATAAAACAAAATCGAATGAAACCTATAGGGAAGCATTGCACTGTTTCTTCTACATATCGTTAAACTCACAACAGTATATCGGCAGATTAATGACAGTATCGCAAACTATTCGTAATTACAGCCATCCTGATGTGTTGTGACCACTGACAGGTATAACTCCTGGAAGTTTAGGAAGCGACTGCGAAGTCGCATGTTGTTTGAACTCGTCCTCAGGAGTTTGTGATGACATAGTGGTTTGTGCGTTGCTCGACGATGAGTTATTAAACAGAAGCGGTTCTCGTGATGTACCGGATGCTGGCGCCGCCGTCGGCGGAGCTGGTAAAGGCAGTAACAAATATCATTAATCATTGTTAGCCCTATAGTTTCTGAATATCTGGACATTTTAAGAGGCGCCTCTTTGAACCGAGACTGCCTTATCCTTTGACTACTCCGAAAAATAGTTGCGTATTGAATATTCTAAGAATAATATTTTTGAATCTAGTCTCGAAGCAGCAACGGAGGTCACGTATGCACTTATACAGGGTGTCCCAAAAGTAGGGACACACTCAAATATCTCGTAAACTAAGGGTGTTAACAACGTCAACCACAAAAGTTTTAGTAAATCAAACAGTGCCTCTAGAGGTGACCTTGGATTTGACGTTGACATCCACCCTGAAGGTCATTTTGAGAGAAAGTTGATTTTTCAAATGGGAACCTCAATTTTTTTATTGCAGAAATAGAAAGCCAAAGATATTTCCTTTTCAACGGTATATATATTATAAGGGCTAAAATTACATCTGGAGGTTATTTCAAGGTCAACGTTTGCTCTTTCATGGAATGTTGTGAAGCAGCGGATAGCTGGTTTATCGAAATACAGGAACAGTGTTATGTTTCTTATGTGCATCGTCTTTATTTGTAAGACCCACCGAGTCGCCGCTCTAGATATGCACGATACTGTATCTTAAAGCATTAAGTTTTTCTAATTGAAAATGGATCGTCCAAGGGTTCATCTGACTGACCGTGAACGAATAACTGTAAGGGTGAATTAAATTAGCGAGATGACTGGTCTCCACGGAAGCTTCAGCTAGCACTGGTAAAGATTTTTTATTATTATTTGATCAGCCTGGATTTAAAGATTGTTTCCCGTTAATCAGAAGAAATTGGTTACTTTTAAGGAATTCCTGGCTACCACATCTGTTAATTTCAGTCATACAAACAATTAATGATATGGCGTTTCCTAGCTATGGTGTGAGGTAATATAGTCCACTATAAATGACCAATCGGGGCCGCCAAAAATTAGTTGTTGAGAGAAACCTGTAATGGTAGAAATTCCTTAGTAATCGAGTAACTTTTTTTGTGTTCAAACATAATGTCTAATGTATTGCGTGGAATATTAACGAAAGGTACATCTCATCGCTGGAGCTGGTTTATTACATCACTTATCAGTTGATAACTCGTGGAGTAGTACAGTGTTGGTACTAAGGAGACAGCAAACATGGTCAAAGGTAGCCTAGTTGCCAGGCTTCGCCTCCCCTCTAGAGCTACTACTAAAGTACTACGTATACTTACTTTAACACTTTCAATGCTAATACATTGTTGACAAACTTCACGGACGGAAGGTGCATTTGTTTGGAAATAATACCGTTAAAATATTGCTGCTATGCCTTCTATATAATTAAAATACGATAAACACCTCCCCTCAGGTTTTTTTTCTGTGAGGCACTGGTGCGTCATGTGCACCCTACACCCAACTTGGTCCAGTGCGCGCATGACGCACTGGAGTGTCATAAAATGTAATAAAATATTCTATTGATATATGCAAAACGCATCGGGGCGTTGTGCGCGCGGCTTAAATACCAGGGCAAACGCACCGGTGCATCACGCGCACTGAATGTGTTAAAGAAGTCACGATATACTACAACTGCTACTACACTAATTACGTATATAAAAAATAATGATCATTACCTAATGACCTACCGTAGGCAGCAACACTTTCTTCTGTCGTAGAAGGCGTCAGAGTAGACGCCGCAGCTACTGGCAATTCGATGGAGTCCTGTTGAGATTGCGTTTTCTCGTGGCGGGGTATCATCTGGTCTACTTCCGGTACTCTGGTGGGAACACTTGACGCCCTTTTCAGAACTTGCTGAAACTTAAGATCGATGTCATTAATATTAAGGATACTGTTATTTCTTTCAGTAACTGAGCAATCAGAAACCAGCGTGCAATACTTATAAGTTTGAAATTGTAAATATTGTAACAAAAATACCGTTTTCACTGTCCAAAGCCTAATTTTTTACTCTTTGTTTGACTGTCACTAACTGCTTCCGCAAACTGGTCAGGCATTTATATGGTGAATGGACGGTTTCCGATGCCCTTTAGCTTTTCTTGCAAAAACTGGATTCCTTCTAGGTAGGTAGCGATGCACGTGCTCACACATGTAAACGCAATCGCCTTCGAAGCTTTGCAAGCTACGATACATAATGGTGCAACTGTGGTTGCCTAACAGCGGAGGCGCGAGGCCGTTCCATGCCATCCGAGGTCCCAGCAATAAAATACGTATACAGATACACTATAACAATGGACGAAGTAAATGGAATACATAAAGGATTATAATTTGTGATGGAGTTTAAGTTCCCCACTTTATCATCTTTTCATTTTTGATAATCAAGAAGAAGGCGTTTGGTCATTATCACCATGCACGTATATACAAGTGGTGTTATATCAATAAAAAAAGACGTAGTTTTTACATTCGATATTGCTTTCATGCCCGGAAAATATCTCGTAATATCTCAATGGTGTTTTCTTTATTCTATCTAGAACCTATACACTGTCTGAACAGATTACTCTTATTAACAGACTGAAAAAAACAAATTCATACAAAAAAACTGTACATTATAAGAAACAGATATAAGTACCTTTAACTCATCCAATAGTTAAACTGCATTTTTGGTAGAACTGTTAACATCAAGTTGACAAACACCCTCACAAACATTACACATAATATAAAGTGGCGAAAATGACAATACATTTGTTCGCGGAACAGGTAAATAAAATGTAATGTTACGACGATAACAAGTAAGTAAATCGGAAACCTGTAGGGAAATCCTGTCCAGAAGTAAAGGACAATCAATATCATCAGCTGACAGACTTCAACGTTTGACTAAGCGAGATAGACTATACCTACTTAGAAGCATGTCATTGCTTATACCCCTTCCAAGGTACACTTGATCATCTTCAAACCATAAACACAAAACGTCGTTGGATTATCTCAATGTCACTACAATTACACCCAAGTGGATAAACGTGTCATGTAAATTTTGTAAAAAATTGCTTTTTTGCATTAAATTAACCTTAAGGAGTGATACTTTCATTCTGTGATTACTTTGTTGCAAAAACAAGATAATTAAAAACTAACTAAGCTAAATATTCAAAATTTCAATAAAGTAAAAAGTCCCAATAAAAAATGTTTAAAGTCAATTTTCTGCATTAAATGATTTTGTTACATGACACCTTCAACCACTTGTGTCATAAATTATGACATAGGCCGGGTACCAGATAATTGAACAATATTCTAAAATAGATTTAAATTTAAAAAGTAAAATCAATGTATTAGTGTGGTATTGAAGCGACAAATCCAATATTTATAAAGCACTGAGCTTCTCTTATTTGGCCTATAACTTTACCATAATTCGCAAGATGCTCTTTAAAATGAGTTTCCAATCCCATCAGTAGCTTAAATTAGTGTGTACCAACAAAACATTTAAATAAATATACGGAGAAACTTACCTTTTTAGGGCCAACTAATTTGGAAACAATATCCATAGGCGATTCCGGTGGAGGCACTACTACTGGTCCCACGTTTCTAGACGCTGAAAACTTTTTCCGTTTCTTCTTCAGCAGCGCCAAACCATGGGAAATCCCGCTACCACTATGTAGTGGTGGTTCATGGTGATGGTGTGTTTGCTGCTGTTGTTGTGGTACGGTAGCTACAGCAGCAAAACATTAAAGTATGTATTAAAATAGTTGCACTGAAGATGCGTTTTGTACTACATTATTCAAAAAAGTCGCCTATTAAAATTCCGATGGGAAGAGTTAGTATGATGCGTGCTCGCAGGTATTTTGCTTAGGAGGGGGGATCATTGGCAACAGATTGGAGAAGTGTACCTGCCTCCAAAAATATTTGAAGAGCGGGATAGTGGGGGGTAGTATCTTTTCCCAGTAGGGAGCCAACCATAAAAATGCTTAAACTTGTACACAAAATCATGCTAAATATCATGCAAGTTTCAAGGTCCAACCGGATTCCCAGTGCGCGTCATGCCCCCATGGCCTTAGCAAGAAGGGCTCTTCGATGCCTGAATATATGTAAAAAAATCTCAAAAATCGTATCATATGAACGCATGAATGAAATAAGTTTTGGTCTTGTCTAGAAAAGAATTGGAGTTGCACGACATTTTAATTGACGAATCATATTCAATCGGGTTCAGGTGTATTGAGAGGCATGTTCCTTTCCGGCTTCCTATAGTTCCAATTCCTGACGTGTCCCTCTGTGTGGCATATCGTCATTTTTTGAAATTGTTTTTCTATGGCTGGGACTTATTGATTATTTTATTGATAGTTCTTATTATTGGCTTATTATTCAACACATTTTCACATAAACATGACCTCCTCGCTCTGTACAAGGCTCAGATAAGGCCTAGCCTCGATATTGCTCTCATGTTTGGGAGGTGCTTCCGCCCTGACTACATTATCCATGCTCGATGCTGTTCAAAGGAGGGCTGCGAGACTGATCTTCTTCTTTAATGGACCTGTCGCAAGAGTATTGATATTGTGGAACAACATGAGGTGGCTTTTTTTCAGTTATGCTTCTGCCTGCGCGGCTGCTTTGTTACAAAAAATAAAGGTATGAAGACGTTACTCGTTGTTTTTTAAGCCTTGTTGCATGATCCTGACTATCATAAAGAAATGCAGTGAGCATGACGGTAGGCCGAGTGATCCCATAAGACCCACAGGTCTTTGTTAAGTATACCGGTTTTTCTGAACCTCTCATTCTGCCTAGCTTCTTGGCCTACCTAAGACTTTTAAAATATTATTCCAAGTTTATACCTAATAAGCCGAATAAGGAAGTACCTATAAGACTTATAAAAAGTGAGGTTTTGAAATTCGTTCTTAATTGGGCCTCTTTGTACATGTAGTGGGTGTTAAAGGGAAAACACGAATTTTTTTTTCGTGACACGTTCGTTTGATAAGGCTTCGAAAGAGAAGAAATATTTGCAGTTGGGATTTTTTCAAAGAATTTTTTCGAATTGTATTGGGATATGAAACATAGCGAAATAGGAAATTTTCTGCACCAGTACAAATTTAAAATTCTAAAAAATACTTAAGATGCCGGGAGCAAACATTTCTAACCAAAATTTGGATAAATTCGCATTTTCTTATTCGATTTTTCTACTTCAAAGTGTAGCCTAAGGTGAGGTTGGAATATGCCAGAAGTTTTAAAATGGCATACGGGTTAATTAAGGAGGTACGTATTTTTATACACATACATGTCGCACTGGGTATTCCAATTTGAAATTTTTTTGAATACTCCAACTACCACGAAGGCCTAAAGCCTAATCACCCATGGGTACCATGGGGCTATAGGGGGGATATAGATGAAAGGGGGGACGCCACACGGACTGGCGAGCGAACACGTGTACATGCAACATGCACACATTCTGGCCCCGCCTACGAGATCCGCCGGCTGGTACCTCCGCGTTTGACAGTCAGAGGCCGTCTACCACCTACGGACAATTACAACATCCATAGCCAAGAGAAACATTTCTGTTGGGACGGAGTTCGAACCCGCGCAGCGCACGGCGACTGATCAGGAGACCGAAGTGTCTACCACTGTGGCCCCGCTGCTGAATAAATAAAATTGGGTGAACAACCAGAAGAAAACCTTTCAAGCTATCATTTGGGTATCTCTAACTGCCAGCGTCCCTAGACCGGCTGCCTTGGCCACCGCTCATGGTGTCCGGTCTACTCCTTGACAGTCGCCCACCTTCCTCATTCAACGGGGTTGGTTACCCAATTGTAGTCAATCATCCCGGAGAGACCCTGACTACTTATATAGTTAAATAATAATGGGGTGCACCACCGAGAAGGTGAGGTTGGCAGTTGTGTATGAGAGGCTATATCTTGCGCGTAAATACACCCTACACCCCAGTGCGACATATATGTACATACAAATAAATACTCCTTTAATTTAGGCACATACCATCTCAAAACTTCTGGTGTATTTTAAATAAACTTTAAGCTTTTTTTAAGTTTTTTTAGCTTGATATTTGGTTTTCTTATCAAAGTACAGAAACTTTCATGTATGAAACTCCATGCTTAACATCCCGATACTTTTCAATTCGAGAAAATCCCAATTTCAGATACTCTTCAGGAATTCTATCGAATCCTGTAACTTAGCAAATGAACGTGCCACCAAAAAAATGTGTTTTCTCTTCCACGTATGCTAGTTCTACAAACAGGTCTAATATGAGCGAATTTTAAAACCTCAGCTGTTTTGATGTCCGCTTTTCGTGAAACGCCCTAATATTGAGACTGCAATCTTTGCGCAGGTAAGGAAAATTATTTGCCTGACTGTAACTTACTATGCGTTGTAACTGTGGGCGGAGGAGTCGCCACTTGCGTTGTATCCAAACTGTGATTTGAATCTGTAGGAGACACAGACGCATTCTCGTCGGAAGGTGGTGGGCTAATGCTACCACCATTACCAACTCCAACGCCGTCATTGCTGCAACTGTTACAAACGGAATCCTCAGATCGGGAACGACCAATCAAGCGAGACACCTGTGAACATAAAAAATAAGATGATGCTCATATTATTATAGGCTGAAGCGATATTACAGTTGCTATTATGGGTATCAAAGGGTACACTGAAGTGGTTTGAAGTGAAAGACTCAGAATTCAGAAAACTAATTCTAAACAGAATGCCCCAACATTGCGATAAGTGTATGTACAGAATTTGCTGTAACTTTGATATGATGAATCTATGCTCCATCAAATGTAACATTGGACACAAAGTCTGATTAAAGCTTCTCCGATAACACGAAATATGCATTAAGTATTCATTCAATATTTAACAATATTTTTATTTTTTTAAATATTTGTTATCTTAAACAAATGTTTAATAAATATTTGGATTATAACATTCTTGATGACTATTTAATCAATATGTTCTATTTATTTTAAATACAATATTTCTTTGATAATATTAATGAAATATTTACTTTTCAATCAATGGAAAATATGAAAACTTTATTTTTTTAGAAAATATTCATTAAGTATTTTCGCATGTAGGTGTGACTTCGAGCGACTCATGGTATAATGGCAAGCCGACCTGAACTGACACGCTTGCCAGCTTCCATTTTGCATGTGTTTGACCGTGGACAGCGTACCTCCAAGTGGTACATTATTTGCACCGGCGCTCCCACGGGGGGAGGGTAAACGGAGTAATTACCCCCCCCCCAGACGATTCGAGCAGTCTTTGAAAAGGTGGTATAAAGTAAACGTGTTATAAAAAAATCTGTAACTTTAAGAAAGGATAGCGACTAGCGACTACTCTCCCACCAGCAGCAACGGTGTGCGCTTCTTCCTGTTGGAACAGGTATAGTCTAGTATTTTATGGTCTAGTCTAGTGTATAAATTCTGTTCCAGTCCGGAGTCCGCAACAAAATTTGGCTGAGAAGTGAACAAGCCGAGTTTTGTTGATCTGGATGGTATCAACGCCATTTTCTATGTTCTATTGATTTTTTATTTTCCACGCATAACCCAGAAAGTTAATTTATACTATAAGAGAATCGTGTATAAAAAATGATAGACGGAAAAATGGAAATTTAATATAATTTCAATTACGAAGTGTTTGGTCCATACTATCCAGCTATCATTATCATCTATGTATGTATATTTTGTCTTGGAAGTCCCTGTATATAAGCACTTCAGTGCATTTCGTTCGTCTGAGATGACAGATTATATATTTAGTCTTTGAAAATAGCGTGAACTTAAGAAATCTTGTTTTCCAAACAGAAAAGGTACTTTTTATGAGATACGTGAATGCGTGGAAACCAATAATGCTGTTTAATTCACAATATTTGTGTAACTTTTAGTGCTGGTTGGCGACTGCTGTTGTCAGGATGAGTAAAAGGAAACAGAATACCTCGAAAACGGAAAGCGAGAACAACTCCCGCACATCCACGGTCCTGAAGGCATAGTCTTCAGAACAGAGGATAAAGTCGAGGTTTTCGCTGACGCCATGGAAAAACAGTTCTCTCCCAACTATGATCTTGATAATGACTTTGACAAGGAACAACACTCTGTAAGATCCGTCAGGAGATATTTTAGGGCCAACGGCGTTAGCGGAGGAATTGTATCCTCTTCAGATTACTCTTCTCCAGAAGAATCGTCTGAGGTTTCGCATAGCACATTAGAGGACCCCTCCAAGGTTCCGCATTGCACTCCAGCGGAGCTCCTAAGTCTTATTAAAGACCTCAAGGTGCGTAAAACACCTGGGGAGGATCAAGTCACCAACAAGGCGCTGAAACTGCTCTCGCCGGAAGCTCTGATATATTTGGTGATAATAATCAATGCGATGCTCAGAACGCAGCACTTCCCTGCAGGGTAGAAGACTGCTGAGGTCATCATGATTCCAAAGAAGGCGGATTCGATATTTCCTCAGGATGACAGTCCGATTAGTCTGCTGTCAGCTCCTTCTAAGCTCGCCGAAAGGGTGATTTATCGCCATCCAGAGATTTTTTCGTTAAATCACCATGTGATTCCTGACGTTCAATTCGGTTTTTGGTCCGAGCATAGCACCGAGCTACAGGCAGTCAGGCTGGTGGGACATGAAACCAGAGGGTTCATCCTCAGCATGTGTACTGGCCTCTTGCTTTTGGAGGTCTCAAAAGCCTATGACAGGGTGGTGCATGCGGGCCTCCTTTATAAACTAATCCAAAAGGGATTTCCTTTTTGGCTTCTAAAATTACTCAAATCCTTTCTTGAAGGAAGGAAGTTTCGGATCAAAATTAACAATGTTTTGTCAACAACACGGCCAGTACGGGCCGATGTTCCTCAGGGTCTGGTCCTAGGACCAATCCTTTATTCGATTTTTATCCATGATGTCCCTTGCCCCAGCAACTGTGAGGTCTACCTCTATGCTGACGACACTGCACTTGTCGCCCAGTCGTGAGCTGGTGATCTGGTTCACGGTGGTTTGCAGAATGCGGTGGAAGAAGTACTAGAGTGGGCGGAACGGTGGCTGATTAAAAGTAATCATTCGAAAACGCAGGCTATTTATTGTACCAAAAAGCGACCCCCCAGCAGAGGTTTCTGTAGACGGCAATCGTGTACCATGGAGAAATTCTGCCAAGTACCTCGGTGTCACCCTTGATAAAGGCATGACCTGGCAGAAACATACAGCAGCCTTGAAAACAAAATGCGTTTAGGCAACTAAATCCTTTGTTATGTAGATCATCCAAATTGAGTTTGATAAACAAAGTTCGCCTATATAAAATGATTATTAGACCAGCCATTACTTATGCATGTGCGGCTAGGTGTTTTCTTGCCAAGACATACATGTAAGGTCTTCAAGTACTGCAAAGTAGAACTTTGCGAACAATTTGCAACGCTCCATGGCATGTCTCAAACGAGACACTACACAGAGACCTTGAATCGCACAGCCACCCTCTGTTGCGCGACTTGGTAGACTATATAGTGGAGCAAGTTTGTAAACATTCAAGGCCACGGCTCGCACTGTAATAAAAAATGAGCGCGAACTTTTAGTAAACTTGAAATTACACTCTAACAAAACCGAATCAAAATTTGTTTAGTTCACGTCAAAATTAATCCATGTACCAAGTCAAAAAGCCTAGGTGCATCCTCTTAAACTAAACACTTCTGTTTTTCTTTGCTCTTCTCCTTTTTTCTTCTCTTTCCCTTTCTCCTCTTCCTTGACATTGTCTGGTTTCTGGGCAACCAGGACTGACAGATTCGAATAACGTACATTAGACAGTGATTAATGGGCAAAGGTCCTACGGACCGCCCAGACAAACGAATGACGAATACTAAACAGAATACGATCGATTGGTTCCTTTCTAAACAAAACAAACTGTCTGATCCACCAGCACAAGAATTACCGAAAAAAAACTGATGATAATCCTACAATTCAACCTGAGCCTTCTGATTCAAAATTTCTTGATGTTGCACCGTATGCTGAACCAAGTGTTGAACAATCCGGTGCGAAACCTGAAGGATCCAATTTTGTTGATGTTGCGCCATATGTAAATTTCAGCGGCAACTTGTCTTCCCATGAAACATATACCTTATTGAGGTGTGCAATGATATCTAATGACTCTTTCAAATTTCCCTATTCCACACTTTTGAAAAATAATAAAGAAGTGAAATGTTAAATGCCAAAAAAATACTTTGAGAAATTTACTTGGCTGTCATATTCAGAGGAACCAGAAGGGCTTTTCTGTAAATATTGCCTGGTTTTTGCAAAATCAGGAGGAGTACATAAATCAACTAAGTTGGGTTAACTTGTTACCCTACCACTAATGAAATTTTAGAAATTGTATGGCAAAACCGGTGATTGAATTGAATGATATAATAAATATAATAGATTCAGAGCGAATTAAGCAAGTATCAGAAAATCGGCAGATATTTGACTCCTATGATAGAATCTATAATTCTTTTAGGACGCCAAAATATACCACCTTAGGGGGCATCGAGATAGGGACAAATTTTTTCTAATGACAGCACGAATGACGAGGATGTCCTTAATAATGAAGGGAATTTTAGAGAACTAATACGGTTTAGAGTTGAGTGCAGCGACAATTTATTTAAAAAAAATTCCGAGAACTCAAAAGCGCATGCCACGTATGTACATAGGCAGCCGCATCCAAAATGAAGTTATAGAATGTTGTGGCGAAGAAATCTTTTATATAGTTTTAAGTCGCATCTGGCAAAGTCAGTGTTACCGTATTATATTTGAGGAAACAGACATTATAGCCATGAATCACAAATGTCAATCGTATTGCGGTATTGTTATAAAAAACATATTTACGAGGACTTCATGGGATTTGTGGATTGCTATTCAAATGTTGATGAAACGGAGCTCAACCTCGCAGGTCAAAATTCTTGCTCAAATAGTCAAGCATTTCATTAAAACCAATAACTTAGACTCAAAACTATGTGTGGGGATTGACACTGATACGAGTAACCTAATGTTAGGTGAACAAAAGGGCGCTGTAATGGAATTGCAAAAATGTTTGCCCACGCGCAAATCATGCCTTGAATCTTTCAATTTCAAAAAGCAGCGTGACCAAGCAGTAAGAAATAATACTGTAGGTATAATTAAGGAAGTAATTGCGTTCTTCAAAGCATCCGCTAGAAGAAATACAGTATCAAAAAGAAAACTAGACGGACATCAAGTTCATAGTATGTGCGAAACCTGATGAATCGAGAGACATGATTCTGTGCTCCAATTTGAAAGCAAATTCGAGACAATTGTAGGGGTACTATATATTATATCAAATTCTAAAGACCGCGAAGCTTCTTCAAAAGCGGGGTCTTTGAAGACTGTCATTACTTCCACCCAATTTATCGTACCACTAAAGTCTTTGTGTGATATATTAGCTTTAACAGTCAACTTGAGTGAGATTTTACAATCAATAACAGTTGACAGACAATACGCTGTCAAACTCATAGGAAATATTATTTCAGTTGTACAAGAAAGACGCGCAAATTCCAAAAAACACTTTAGAGTACTATTCGCATCTATAGTGAAATCACTT